ATTAATTATTATTAGCTTAATTATACTGATTTAATGTACTTAATACTTTTTATTTTCAAATATGGTATTGGTGAACAACTAAAATGTTGGTACTGTGACAAGATTAATTTGTAGTATTATGAGAGAGTCAGATTGTGATTTCAAAATTGTGAATTGAACCTTTAATAGTTACACCCTTAATCTTTTTTCCCCATTATGAAATATACATAAAATACGTTTTTCAAACATCATATGAGGACAGGAGAAGGCTCATTAATATTCACAAGAAAAGTGATATGCTCGTCTGTGCCCCTACACTTGAAAAATGAACAGAAATGATAAAGGCTCACACTCAGCTATGTAGGAAATATGTTTCCTTGTTTCAGTATGTTTTCACATCATACAGATGTGTTGAAGATTTTAGGGTTTTCATGTAAAGAAAAAAAAACATACTTTTTTTATGGTATTGAAATGAACTCTGTCAATCAGAAGTGCGTCTGAACCTTAGACTGGATCTGTTAATCGTGAAGTTTCTGTTGATCTGAGCTGTAGATCCTGAACTGAGAGACTGAAGAGTGTCATTGTTCTCTACAGGTTGAGGGATTGTGGAGTCACAGATGAAGGTTGTGCTGCTCTGGCTTCAGCTCTGAGATCAAACCCCTCACACCTGAGATATCTGGATCTGTCTGGAAATAAACTAGGAGCGTCAGGAGTGAAGCTGCTTTCTGATCTGAAGGATGATCCACATTATAAACTGGAGAAGCTTGAGTGAGTAGTGATGATTAAAAATGTTTGATTGTTTAAATTAAAGTTAATATAGTTTCTTCTTCTTAGGTTACTTTCTTGGTAATTGTGACTAACATGTTTAATAAGAGTTTGATTCGGTTTATAGTTAAGTATCTTGACGTTTCTTTTTTATTTCAAAATAATACAGTATTTCACTAGTGAAAAATAAATACACTTGTATATGAAATACATTTATTTCATGCTAAGTATAGTACAAATTCATTCACGTATTTGTTTACTTAATAAAAGCACCCTGTAATTGTACTTTTAGGATACTAAACTGAATTGGAAATTAATTCTGCAAGACAGACTTTTCAGGAAAAGAGATTGACTAAAAATGAGCTCCTAAAACTTACTGCCAGATTCTGGAAGATTAATTCTTCAAACAGTGGTATAAGAGGATGTGATGCTCCTTCAAGGGTAACTCAAAACTTATCTGCCATAAAGCCTATAAAAATAGTCTTCATGTATTTCACAACACTTCAGCATGTGATTCTTATTAAGTGAGGGTCATATTTTAGGAAAGTTGCAGTTCTGGAAAATGCTGGCGCTGGAGACTGAATGCTTCCTGATGGTTTCACACCTAATTCTTCACATTAATTCTTAATTCTTTTGCAGTTGACGTGTCTTTTCTTCTCCACCTGTTTTTTCTGACCCCGCTGACCCACTGAGCATTTCACTGTCCAATGGTCATGCCTTAACTTTGCAATTTCTGTATTGCATTAGTTTTTAATATTTCTCATGGGGATTTGATAATTTTTGAATTTTCAGTCTGAGTTAAACCTCTTTTTTGGCTAATTTTATCTGCAAAAGAAAACCTGCTAATAATTCTCCACACCTGAATATGAGGAGTTTTTCACTTCCAGCCTTGATTGATGTGGTTTGAATTGGTAAAATGCGCTTGGAAAAAAAATATGATCAGAATATAAACGTGCCTAATAATTATGCACGCACTTTATAGTCATTGTTTTTTATATCTGAAATTATGAAATTTTAAATATTTTGAGAGAATGTCAATTTTAATGGAAAGATGGTAGCTATTTATAATTACTTTAATTGTCAAATAAAACTGTGACAGAAAGAGAACAAAATTATGGATAAGGGTCAAGGGTCATCATTTATGGTGGTTTGGATGCAAAATCAGAATCAGAATTCAAAAAGAGTTTTAATAATCGTACGTCACAGGGTTAGTTTATAAATCTGACTAATAATGCAAATAGTTTGTTTTAGTTGTTGTAAAGTGGATAATGCAGTAATGTGACACACATTTGCTTGTGTTTTACTTTCAGCTTTAAGATGTTAGTCTGACCTTCTCTGATCGCTGATGGTGAATAAAGAGCCGCTACAGACAGACATCACATTCAACAGAATCAACAGACACAAACCCACAGTGATCATCACACACACGTGTTTGTGCAGCTTTACAGAATCATGCCATTCATGATTAGAAATCAGACGAGGAAAACTTCTGTTTTTTCCTCTGAAGTGACTTTTGTACTGGTGCCACATCACAAAACCCACGGTGACCCTGCAGACAAAAACAAGAGACCATCACAGAAATTCTAATGATTTCCACTACAAATACCATTACAAACATTACAAACCATCAACTTTTCACACATGCTCTATCCACAAGTTTCCTACGCCCCATGAGGCCTTGCGTCAAAAGTGGGAGCGTCTTCCGGTTCGAAGCAAACAAGCGGGACGTGACACTCATTCATTCAACAGTTGACAGTCAGTCATTCAAGATTTAGCGATCCAAACCTGCTAACGATGTGGGAACACAACTTCAACGAACTTAAAAAGGGTGAAATAACAGTAACTTTACCCTCCGCGGTAGATGGTTGGGAGGATGATGTGAAGAAGTGGCCTCGTATCACTGAAAATCAAGCCAGCCGCACTTTTTCTTGGCTTGTGCACTTACGGTATGGGTGCTGAGAGCGGTCAAAATGGATGTAAAGACGCTGTTATAACAGTGTTTCCTTTATAATTTTGCTGATATTTTCAATAGATTGCTGTTCACGGTGACCCAAAATATGTCTGCATAAAACATAATTTAACCCCAAAAAGACCATAAAGCGACATCAGAATATTTATCTATTGCTATTTTCTATCATGACATAAATGATACAATTTCAGGATTTTTTTTTTTTATGATTTGAACATTGATTTAATGTTTGTGAATACATTATTTTTTGTGAATCCATAAAACAATTATTTTATGAATGTGTATTTACCCAGTTGTAAATAGATATTCAATCGATATTGAATATCTAATATTTAAATTTACCAAATTAAATATTTGACCCTCTGCTAAAGATGTATTTTTGTTGCATAAAAATAGGATTTTGAAGAAAAAATTGGTGATTTATTTGAAGGTGAAATACCATGTACACAAACTAAAACAGACTAATAATAAAACGAACATTAAATTCAAACTAAAGCATTACATTTATTGAGGCCTTAAAATATGTAAGAAAGTAAAAAGGATGTATAACATTTTTTAATCCTTTTCTTTTGGACATTTCTTGTAAGTTATCCCCTGTCCCCTCTTGTAAGTCAAGCGTCTGCACAGAGGTTACCTGCTGGGTGTCACTCAAGGAGGAAAAGAGCGACTGAGTACAGGAGACCCAGAAGCACTGAGGGCCCATAATGATGACTGTGGAGGGCCCGGCGGAGCCTGATTAAACTGTACAGGTGTGCAGGACACCTCGTGACGTCACTGCTTAAGGCTGGAATTCACCACACGACTTGAACATATTTTTAACACTGTAAACATCACACATTTAACAACTTTATAAACCGTTATAAACAATATGTGTTCAAGAACTGGCTCTAAATATCACACACGTGATACCCTCAGACTGGATGGAATCAAAAGTCTAAAACTAAAATAAAAATCAGTCTGTGCTCATCATACAGTACATGATTTATTTGTGAAATCTGTCAGCTCTAAACGACTGACCAAAGACTAGCACCATAGCACTGACTGAAGCAAATAACTTCAACTCGGGGAATAAAATCTTTACAAAAATCATTTTGTTTATTCTAGCTGTTACTTGTAAATTTGCCTTCAGAGCCAACATATCTGCAGAAGATTCAACATATTTCTGCAATATATTTTTAATTTTCAGTTTTGGGCAGGACCCCTACCTCTGTTTGTTGAATCAAGCATCCTGCGTTAGTTCAGGCAGGCCTCGTAGTCAAGCTTTGCTATCAGCAGATTGGGACAATTCAAACCCGGCCCCTATCAGCTGATCCGACTCCTAAGCACTCAATTGACAAATCTCAAACAGGGCGGCTTACTTAAACACAGCTTCTGTCTGCTTGCTTTGCTGCTTCCTCTGTACGCTGCTTGCAACCCACCTCCTCCCCATCTCCTCCTCTAACTTCTGTTTAACTTAATGTCATTCTGTTGTCATTGTTGCATGCTCTGTTCTGGGGGTCTTTTTGTGCTATTCTCCTATTCTTAAAATAGGAGGGTTGCCCCTGAAGCGACTGCTGTTTCCCTGTCCTGGCTTTCATGGAGCTCATGAAAAGGACAGGGAACTTGGAACAGAGCCATACTGCCAAATGTAACTTTAGTAAACATGCTAATAAAAAATTGACTTAAATGCTTGTCTATGGGTTCTTTTTGACTTAAGAGATCCTGACTGAATTAGCTATATGAATCAAAACCACTTTTTGTACCAGGCTGTAAACATTTTTTTCTGCTGTAAAGTTGGGCATTTTAACATGGGGAGT